GCTTAAGCAATTCTAAAGGGATGTATCTTGTATTTGAGGTCAAATTCTATTCAGCCTCTGAATTGATGGCCTGTCCTTTTAATTCTTCCATATTGGCGTCATAGACAAGTGCTCTACCTCTGGTTATAGTCACAGCTCTTACTTTTTGTTTTGAGACAGGATCTGACTAAGTTGTCCAGGCTGCCTTTGAACTGGTGATCCTTTGACCTTAGCCTCCCAAGTAGCTGGGATCATATGCCTGAGTCACCAAGCCATAGGAGGATCCTTCCTCTTGAAATAGCTTTGAAGATGGTAAGTTATTTTCTGTCAGAGCTCAAAGTGAAGTACAGTCAGTCTAAATTTCTAGTGGAATTCTTTGTTCAAATGTAAAACATTTTGTGAATTTTATGTTATCCTCTTGGTATTTAAAAGAATGCTTACCTCCAATTTTTATATTGAAAATGTCCAAACCATAATAAAAATTAAAAAAACAAATTGTGCCAATAAAATTAGTTATCTAACCAGATGAGGTGATATATGCCTATAATTCTAGAACGCCAGAATCTGAGGCAGGAAGGTTTGTGAGTATGAGGATATCCTAGGACATAGAGAATTCTGCACCAACCTCAAGTATGTAGATTTTATTTCAAAAATAGACAGAAACAAACGCTCCATTATCTTTCATATTCAAAAATATTTCACCACATTTATTTTGTCCTTTTCTCTATACATATGTATGTACAAAACACATATACTTATTCTTTTTGTTCTGTACCATTAAAGGTCAGCCATAGGCATGTTGACATGTGGCCCTTTAATTCTGCAGCATGCATTATCTAAGAAAAAGGACATTCTTTATACCCTGAACATAATTTTGAGTGTATCTGACTAGACTGAGATGTTTAACCCTAATCCAATATTATCATGTAGCATATAGTTTATATTTGGGTTTTTATGTGCCTCCATGATGTCCTTTAGGGTGATTAACTTACTGCTCTGGAGTTAAGGATGACACATTGGACTTGGTGGTTTTGTTTCTTTTGTCCCTTCTCTTTGCCTTTCTCATCATTGATATTATTGGAACCTGAATCCCAACTGTTTTGTCAATGGGCATTAATTTGAGACTTGAGATTCTCTTTGATTAGGATAGCTATCTGTGGCTAGGATACTCTGTTTTCCTTAGCACAGCCTTTGTGGTCTCATGATATCAGCGTGCACAGTTATCAGTGATATTACCTTGATCATTAGTCATCTATATTTGCCAAGTCCATTATTATAATAATGGCCTTTAGCCATGTAGTTAATAAGTACTGCATGTGATATCATGTCCAAACTTCTGCTATACAAACCTTCTGCTCAATGGTGATTAAGAAAAACATTTATTTATTTTGTTTGTATGTGTGTGCGCATTATGTATACACACACATACATACATACATACACACACACACATACCGACATTTGTGCCATGACGCTTGTGTAAAAGTTAGAGGACAACTTGTAATTTCTGCAAATGAACAGATATAGGATCCCGCCACATGTCTAATCATAACACCTTTTTCTTACTTATTTTTTTTTTTTGGACGCACATTTGAAAGAGCAGTTTCAAGGATATGAGTCAGAAGACATAGAGTTTCTCAGGCTAATGGGATAGAATTGTTTTAAAGAATTGTCTTCTCTTTCAAGAGATATTAAGAAAAAATTCTTAAAGAGTTCCATGGGTGACATCACAAATCACCAAAAGTTTCTCTTAGGTGGGGTCTCCAGACAGGATGGAACACAAATTTCAATAAACAAAACTCTGAATTGTGTGGTCCTCTGCTAATGTTAGTAACTGCCATTGCTTCCTGGCCTTTCCATCATCACATAGCAGCCTACCTCTGAGGCTCACCTCAACCAATGATGGAAGAGATGCTATGAAAGTTTCAGCTTAAGCCTGCCAACTTCTTCTTTCTACCCTTGGACCAGCCATCATTCTGTAAGAAGCCCCAGCCATGGGAACACCTGTGTGGCGCTTCTAGAGTGAGCTATCTTAGATATGCCAACCCAAACTGAGCTCCTAAATCAAGGGTAAGGGATACCATAGTGCTCAGCCATATCCTACCTACCATCTGACTTTTGCCAATAAAGTTTTATTAGAACCTAGCTATGTCCAATCGTTTGTATATATTCTGTGGCTATTTTCTCACAACACCATTAAAATCATATGGCCATGAGAGAAACCTTGTAACAGAAAACCTGGAATATGGTTGGCCCATTATAGGAAATGATGCTGACCTGTGCCCCAGATGGCCACTGCACCAGCTAACATCATCTTGAACTTGATCAACCACAGCATTCTGAGAGATAGTGAAAGAGATGACATCTTCACTCATCTAGTTTGGGGAAGGTTTGTTAGACAGCAGCAACTGAAACAAATGATAACACTCCAGATCAATGTTTTATAGATTTGGTGATTTCACTGCTTAAAAGCTTACCTCCTCTTCCCCTCTTCCTCCTTCTCCTCTTCCCCTCCCCCCTTACCTCTACTTAAACATGTATAAGTTATGGTAGCTATGTATGTGTCATTGATTCTCTCACCAAGCCCACATCCTTTTGGTTGCTAAACCCAACCAAGGTTTCTAGAACATCTTCTCAGTCATCTGACTCTTGGCCACTTTTGGCTACTTCTTAGTTATTGAAACCTTATAATCTTTGTTTTGTCTCATAGTGTACTTTTTTCTATTGCTGTAATAAAACACACAACCAAGACATATATAGAAGGAAAGGTTTATTTAGGACGTTACAGTTCCAGAGGGTTTAGAGTTTCTTGTCATCCCACCAGGGAAGTATGGCAGCAGGCAGGCATGGTGACTGAAGCAGTATGCTTAGAGCACTCATCTTAAACCACAGCCAGGAAACAGAGAGCAAAGGAGTGGGTGTGGCTTTTGAAACCTCAAAACCCACCCCCAGTTGTATACTTCCTCCAGCAAGGCCACATCCCCTAAATCTACCCAAGTAGAACCACCAGCTGGGGACCAAATATTCAAATGACCACAACCCTGGGAGAGATCTCATTCAAATCTCTAGATGTAGGAAAGAGCTTGTCAATTTCCCTTTGGAAATTCTGCCCAACAGTTGTAGCTCCTCAGGATTCTCTCAAATTTCATTCCACATTTAGTTACTATAGCTCCATCCGAGTATATATCAGCCGCTTGTTTGGGTCCACTTGTGGTTCATTAGTGAAGGAAATGTAAAGAGCTATCCCTGTCCTTGGATAGATGGCAAAATTGTTACAGAAGCGAGAGTGGCAAATGCTTTGTTCATTATGACTCTTATTTGGCAATACTTGGGATTGAATCTAGGGCCTCATGTGTTTGAAGCAAGCATGTGTTTGTACCAGTCAGCAACAAGCACTTTAAAAAGGACATAAAGGAGAAGAATGGGGTACAGATGGGAGTAGGGGGAGGGGAGGGCAATCTAAAGAAAGATGCCCAGAGTAGGGCATTGAGATGCTGGCTTTGAGCCAGAGCCTCAAAAGGGAAAAAGGACAGACACATGGGTGTCTAAAGGAGGAAGGTTCCAGGCAGAGAGAAGAGCAGGTCAAAGACCCAAAGGGGAAGATCTAGAAGGACTGAAAATACAAAGAATGGCCTGAGGGTGCATGGAGTAAATTTTAGGACCAAGGTCAGAAATATTGATCTTCAATGCTGTTGGGGCTCACCAGCCACTAGCAGTGTTTAGTCTTTTTATGGAGAGATGGGGTCTATGGGGAATCATTGGGGAGTTTGAGAAGAATCAGGTCATCTAAAGAACAGGACTCCCCTGCCTGCTGAGGAGGAAGGAGGATGGAAGTGGAGGCACAAGCTAGGAGGCTCCAGGAGTGACCTGGCCAATAGGGCAACAGTGGAAGTGAAGTAGAGAGCCCATCTCTGGGATGTCCTCATGCTCCTGTGGTTCCAGTTACCAACCACTGCATTCACTCCCAGGCCTTCTCTTTGCAGCCTCAGTCTCTCTCTCTTGAACTAGCCAAACGTGCCTGATGATCTACCCGTTACTCTATCTCAGGCTTCCGTAGGCACTGTAGTAGTTGATCTTTACTGCAATCTTGATGGGAATGCGGATCACAATAGAAACAAACCTCTGGACGTACACACGTGTGTGTGTGTGTGTGTGTGTGTGTGTGTTTATAGGTTGGGCTAATGGAGCTAGGAAGACCTACCCTAAATGCAGGTGGTGCCATTCCGTAATCAATGATCTCCAGCTGAATATAAAAAGAAGGGAGGGAGAATAAATTGCTTTCTGGCGCCTGCTGACTGTGGACACAATATAATCAGCTGCCTTTCTTACAGCCATGCCTTCTCTACCATGATAGACTGTGCCCTCAAACCATGAGGCAAGATCAACCCTTTCCTCATGGATTTTGCCATAGAGGCAATAAAAGTAACTAAGACACTGAGACAGTACCTCAGTCCCCACTCTCTCCTCTGAAACCCACCTTCCCATGCTCCTTTGAGGCACTGCTGAAAGCCTGCAGCCTCACCTCATTATGACATCTTTTTCAATGACTGTTACCAACACATTTGCTAATGGTCAATCTGCTCTGGCCTGTAAACACTACACTAAGATACATCATTATAACTTAGTTTATTAGAGGGTTGGTTGTTGCCATTGTTTATGGTAGCTCGAATGATTGTGGATAAGGTAGAGAAGTTTTAATTAGGATAGGATGGCGGCATACAGCATTTGTTTGGGACAAGATGTTACTTTGTGGGGGCATTAAACTCCCTGAAGATGGAGGATAGAAGTTACAGAGAGAGGTCTTGTGCTTGTTTGTTTTTTTATTTTTTATTCCACAGTTTTATTTAACAGAGCACTGCCACTGAGACTTATTTTTCAAATGACTACTTTAGTTATAGACACTAACTTTATCATATATATAGTATGTACAAATTAAGACTCAATATTTATTACAGGATTTTTCCTATGTAAATTCAATTTTCTTTCGTCATAAGAATTTTGTTTTATTTTTTATTTTTTAGGAACAAAGTCTTGCCAGATAGCTCTGACTGACCTGTACCTCATGAGGCAGACAACGCTGGGCTCAGAATCCTCAAGCTCTTTCTGCTTCAACCCTTTAGGTACTGAAATTACAGTTGTGAAAATAACTACTTACATTAGGAGTTTTTCCTCTTTCCCAATTGTAATTTTAAAATATATATATGTAATATATGCTTAAAAGGTGATTTTATTTTATTTTGACATGGCCACATATATAGATTGCCCAGGCTGCCTTTGAGCTTACTATATTAGCAGAAGATGATGTTGAACTTCAGATCTTCCTGTGTGCAGGGAACCATAGGTGTGTATGATGCTGATGCTGGACATTAAACCCAAGGCTTTATACATTCGAGGCTATCATTCTACCAGCTGAGCAATGTTCCCAGGCCTTCGTTGTTTTTAGTTGTATCAAGGGAGCTATTTTTGTTCCGGAAAATGATTAGACATAAGGGTATACTGTTCCTTCTTCCAAGATCCTTGGCCCTTCCCTAATTTGTGGGTAACCGAGAATACGACATATCTTAACCTTTAATGTCCAAATCATGAATTAAAAACGTGATACAAGGGAGATGTGTTTTCCTAGATTGTATTTTTAGCACTTCATGCTTGCGTGTGGGAAAGTCTTGTAAAAATCATTAATGCGAAACTAACTAGGCCAATGATAGCTATTAATTTTTATTAGAAAATTACCTTCAAAATGAATATTTAGATGTAAGCTTAACATAGTTAAAAATGCAATTAAGTCTAATTCCTTGATACTTGAAAGCTTTTTTATGTATTTATCGTTTATCTGCCAAGTTTTTTTTTTTTTTTTTTTATCAAAGCCTTGCTCTGTAGCAGACTGCACACTGAAGCTGGGGATGAAGTAAAAGTAAAGATGAGAAGCCTCCACAGTGGATCATCCTCCTGCTACAGACGGCAGATGATCGACATGTGAAAAATAATTCTTGCTGGGACTAAGTGCTAAAAAGAAAGTTACCCAAGTGGAGAGAAACGAAGAGTGACAGAGACAGATTTACGGGGTTTCCTTTGGTAGAGTCCCTCTCAGATGACTGTATTAACAGCCACAGAACTGGGAACCCCCCAGCAGAGGGATATGGGCGTAGAAGGAACAGAGAGGAAACTGAGGCAGCTACAGGAAAGTCATACAAAATGAGGCACAAGAGGCTGGAAAGAGGTGGGAGCCAGGCTATGAAGAATTTTGTGGGTCTTTCTGGGGAGGGAGTTTTGGTTTTATTCTCAGTGTGGTAGAAGAAAAACGAAGGATTTATGCAGAGGAATGGTAGCACCTGATGCCACCTTTACTGTTTGGTTTGAAGCCTGCTTTGATGTAGCCCAGACTGGCTTCGAACTCCTGACTCTCCTAAGTGCTGGGGTTATAGATATGCATGACAATGCCTGGTTTCTTGACTCCTTGTTGTTGTTGTTAAAACATATGTATAAAACTTACCATTTTAACTAATTTTTTATGTGTGAGCATATGTGTGCCCAACAGAGAACAGTGGGCAGGGAATGGGTCTCTCTTGCTTCCATGTGGGCCCCAGGGATCAAACTCAGGTCTTCAGGCTGGGTGGCAAGTACCCTTACCTCCTGAGCCATCTTGTGAAGTCCCATTTTTAAATGTACGGTTAGTTAACGTTTGTGTTGTTCTTGTTAGTGATATTGTCTTCATCCTTCAGCGAGAGCACTTGTTCCATACTGCCAAACTGAAGCTCCAGTCCTACTACACATTTCTCCTTGTCCCCAACCCCTGACAATCACTGCGGTGTGCTCTGTTTCTGTACGTATTCTGGGTATCCCATTTAAGTAGGATCATACAGTGGTGTCTGGCTTGTTTCACTTGGCTTCCTGTTTTCAAGTTTAGTCTATGTTATACTATGTAGCCTTTCTTCCTTCCTTTCTCTTTCTTTCTTTCTTTCTTTCTTTCTTCCTTCCTTCCTTCCTTCCTTCCTTCCTTCCTTCCTTCCTTCCTTCCTTCTTCCTTCCTTCCTTCCTTCCTTCCTTCCTTCCTTCCTTCCTTCTTTCTTTCTTTCTTTCTTTCTTTCTTTCTTTCTTTCTTTCTTTCTTTCTTTCTTTCTTTCTTTCTGATAGGATCTTATGTAGCCAAGACTGACTTCAAAAATCAGAACATAGCCAAAGATGATTTTAGACTCCTGACTTCTACTTTCCAAGTGCTAGGATGCATGTATATACAACCATGTCACCATGTGCAGATATTTAAATACAGATATCTGACTTGTCACAAAGCTTTCCCCATGTTAGTCACCTTTCTGTCACTATGACAAAATGCCTGAGACAACCAAACAGAATATATTAGTTCCTTTTCTGTTGCTACAATGAACACATGACCAGAGCAACTTATACGAGAGTTTATAAACATTTAGGGTTGCAGAGGGTCCGAACCCATAATGGCAGAATAGAGGCATAAAGGCTAAACCTGGAAGCGAAGAGCTTACATCTCGAACTGCAAGCAAAAAAAAAAAGAGAATAAAGTGGGAATAGCATGAGTCTTTGAAACCTCAGAGCTCACCCCCAATGATGTACTACCTCTTGCAAGGCAATACCTCACAAACAGCACTACTAACTAGAGACCGAGTGTTCAAATGTTCAAGACTATGGGGGACATCTAATTTAAGCCACTACAAATAAGACAACTTGTCCTTGCTGTTGTTGTTGTTGTTGTTGTTGGTGGTGGTGGTGCTTTTTCAAGAGATATTTTCTCTGTGTAGTTCTGGCTGTCCTAGAACTCACTCTGTAGGCCAGGCTGACCTTTAACACAGAGATCTATCTGCCTCTGCACCCCAAGTGGTAGGATTAAAGGTGATGCCAGTACCGCCTGGTAAGGACAATTTGTTTTGACTCACAGTTTCAGAGGGATTTTTCTGTTTGTTTGGGTTTGTTTGTTTATTTCTTTGTTTTCATTTTTGTCTTTGAAATAGGGTCTTACTATGTAGCTCTAGCTGTCCTGAAACTCCTTATGTAGACAAAGCTGACCGTCATAGAGATTTGCCTACCTATGCCTTCAGAGTGATGAAACTAAAGATGTAGACCACCATGACCAGAAGTTTCCATTTTAACTCATGGCCACTTGGCCTTATGCACTGAAATGGCTCAAGCATAGTACTTTATAGTAGGGACATTTGGTGAAAGAGATCTGTTTTCTAGTGGTCAGAAAGGAAAGAGGGAGAGAAATTCCCAGAGTCTTAATGTCCCCTTTGAGGATACACCTCCAATGACCTCATTCCTTTCATTAGTCCCTATTTCCGAAATATCTCCCAGTAACACTGGAGGATACTGACCAAGTCTTTAGCACAGGAGACCCTGAAGGATTATTCAAACTATAGAACTCTTACCCAAGATTTAACATCCAATGATAACTCTTGTCTGTGTCATCAAGCACTTAAATAACGGTAAACACTAATTTTGCATTCCATTTTTACAGCACATTAGTATTCTAAAGTTAGAAACCTGCATGACTGACCATTCAAGCGTCTACAAGGGGAAAGAGGAAAATGTGGTTACAGTCTGATACAATGACATTAGAAACCACTTGGGGGAAAACTAGAAGTGATGGGGACATGGCATGTTGGCATTATTAAATGGAAACATCTTCTTAGGGACAGAGCATGCAAATTACCTGCAGCACATCACAGACCACAAGGGCTTTGCTTGCCTTCTACTACCTCTGCTTGTCTTATTTTGGAGCCATTTTCTGTTTTTTAAAGTTTTATACACCCGTTAGTATCCTTCTTAGAAAGTTTCCCCAGGAAGGGATCTTTTCTACTGGGGAAAGCTGTCACTGTGAAAATAATAGATGTGGCTTTATATTATTTATTGTATTGTTCATTGTATGTTGTGTAAAGGGTGTGCATGTGAAGGTCAGGGGACAACTTGTGGAAGTCAGTTCTTTTCTTCCATCATGTGGCTTTTGGTGATCAAACTTGAGTCATTAACCACTTTATTGGCTATCTCTCCATTCCCAAACTAGTTTTAGTTTATAGAGGACGGGTAAAAGAAGCTACTTTCCAGAAGTCTTTGTAACATAGTGTTTTGGAAAAAACCTTTGGGATGGGGATTAGAAAAACAAAGGCCAAGGACAATGTGTGCTGAATGTAAGCACTTACCTTTCTCTGCTTTTAACCACATCTAGGATGTGACAAACTGTCTTAAGCTCCTGCCCCTGTCACTTATTTCCCATGATGGAATCTGTTTTGACTAGTTTCATGTTAATTTGACATGAGCTAAAGTAATTCATGAAGCACGCCTCTTGGTTGAGAAGGTTCTGGCCTATAGGCAGGCCAATCCAGTATATTCTTGATAAGTGATTGATGTAGGAGGGCCCAGCCCACTGAGGGTGGTGCCCCTCCTGGACAGGTGGCCCTGAGTGTATAAGAAAGTAAGCAAGCCATGAGGAACAAGCCAAGAGTCAGCATTCCTTCTTGACTTCTGCTTCAGTTCCTGCCTCCAGGTTCCTGCCATGAGTCCTTGCCCTGGCTTCCATTAGTGATGGAGAGTAACCTGAGGGCTGTAAACTGAAATGAACCCTCTTCTCCCAAGCTTACTTTTGTTCATGGTGTTTTATCATGGCAATAAGAACCTGACTAAGTAAGATTCTAACTGGAACTGTGAGCCAAAGTAAACCCTTAACCTATCAGAAAAAAAATCAAATAGGTTATGAAAATGTCCCTGTGTTCCTAACCACAAAGAATTGATACATACTCAAGTGACAGATATGCAAATTATTATGCTTTTTCTTTTCTTTTTTTTTTTTTTGAGACAGGGTTTCTCTGTGTAGCCCTGGCTGTCTTGGAACTCACTCTGTAGACCAGGCTGGCCTTGAACTCAGAAATCCACCTGTCTCTAAATTGTTATGATCTTATCATTGGCCATTTGGTTGATATATTACACCCATATCTCACAAACATGTGCAACTACTATATACCTAGTTACATCCCATATCTTTATATGTGTCCACTGAGGACAGTATGTACGTCTCAACAATATTGTAAAGTTATATACTTCTTAGAACCTTGAGAACTAAGAGGATTCCATGCAATCTCCATGAAAAATGTCCTTTAGTAATAACCTGTAACATAGTTGATTTTCCCCCATGTACCTAATTCAAAATAAAGAATATTATATCTTTTCTTGTTTTAAAAACTCCTCTAATCTTTTTCTTTATTCTTGAAACTCTCGTGTAGGCGTACAGTGAACTCTGATCCTATCTATCCCTCCTCTCTCCCGTGTTAGTGCTAACCATAGACATGGGCATGGGCCATCCACTGCATCATGGCAAAATATTGATGCCCACATCCTCCAAAAAGAATGATTGTCTCTTTCTCAGAAACTGTCAGTTGCCAACAGCTCCTCAGTAAGGAGTGGGCCTGGAGAGCATCCCATCTGTGCTGGGATTTTGTCTGGCTTGAACCTATTATGTGCTGTGAGTTCATGTGTGCAACATCTATGTCACACCCAAAAGACAGTGTTTCCCAGCTCTGATCAACCATCCTCTATGCACCCCCTTTTCTGCAGAGTTTCATGAGCCATGGTGGGGAAGGCAGGGAGGGGGTTGTATATTCTAGGGAACCACTCTGGTGCTGAGCCACACCAAACTTCTCTTATATCTTGGATTTTGTTGTCAGCTATATTCTCAGCATCAGCAGATACTGTTGAATCAGACATGCTTATGAAAACAGGGTGGCAGGGTGGTGGTGTAAGTAGGTAGAATCTGCACCTGGATCTATGTCACTTCAGCCACCACTGACACTAGTGACTTGGAGTAATCCACTCAACCTCTTTCTGGCTTGTTTTCAGTAACACATTGGGGACTTAAGGAAGGGAATATAGATCATTGGTATAGTGTTTGCCTTGTTTGATTTAGGCCCTGGGTTTGATCCCCAGTACCACACAATTACATAGGTTAGGAGTGAAAATGGTACTCTTGTCGTGAATAGTAAACTCATTGACAAAAATATATGAAAAACACTGCACAGTTTATAAATGGGGCTGGGATGATGATAACATGTTCAGTGTTAGGGTCTGGATCAGAAACCATTCCCACTTGTGGTTTAGTTTTCTGTTTACATTCTGATTGTAAATTTTATGTGTTTAGATAGATTGACATTGGTGGAAAGCCCCATATTTCTTTGATAAAAGACTGGAAAATGCATGATTTGGCTTTTTTCTTTTTTAGAGATAAGGGGTTGTGCATCTAACAAGAGTTGAAGTTGACCATGTTCACCCCACCTCCCCTACCCCTGTGTTTGAACCTCTTTTGTATCCTTTTTGCCAATTGAGAGTCTCCTTTGATTATGTAGAGTCTTCATGCTGTTTCTTATTGCACTTTCTCCTCTAAGGAGGTAGAGCTTCTTGGTCCACACCTTTATCCAGGGATGGTCTAGGGTCCACTGACTGAAAGAATGTGCCTTAGGCTGGAGGTAGTTCAGCAGTAAAGCACGCGCT